ATTTACTATGAGCCAGGCGCTTTTATAGGTGCTCCCCATTCTAAGGTAGAGGAAAAAAATAAACAAAAAATTCACATCCATATGTATGTGATGATGTGTGGGAACATTATCAACTATTAAACACTTAAAAAACATGGTTATCATGTTCTGGATGTTCTCACTTTTAAAGAATATACTATACACTATTCTTAAGATGAATAAACTAAGTGAACACAGACTGAAAGTCTTCAGTTTCCTGAATTCTTGGGCAATTAACACAGTGACAGGCTGAAGCAGGTGTTGTACAAACATCCCTTCAGGACATGTCAACCCCATTCCAGCTTTCACTCCATTCCAGGGGGCAAAGAAGCCAACCACCAAGCCTAGTGTTACCCACCATTTCTTTTCCTTGGCTAAATTCTGGCTTCAACATTCATCTAAAAAGATCCACCAACTAATCCCCAGAGTTTCTCAAGAAAAAAGATTTTAATCTAGAAAATCTAAAATTGGGTTCAGCGCCTGAAAGAGATGTTAGAGAGAAAAAGGCTGGTCACCGGGGGTTGTTTTACAAGCAAATCAAAGTGGGCTGCAGGAGACCCAGATAGACCTCTCAGTATGATCACAGACAGATCTTTTGTGAAAAATCTCTAGTTCACTCATAATAAGGATAAATTCATACACACCAGCGACAAGGAGGGATGGATTATGAGAGTCCATCTGTTCAGTGCCAGACACGAGTATTGAAACAATGTTTTACAAATTGGCTTTTCTGTGCAGTAATATCACACAATCTACGTAATACTATCAGCCATACGGCTTCTGCCTTGAGATCTTCTGAAGAGTTTCACTCGACATTGGTCACTATCACCTTTTAATAGTGCTGTCTTATATTTGATTTCAAACTCTAAATGCTCATTTAAGAGGTAGAATAGCCATTTTTGTATGAAAGCTGTTGCCTCCTGCTGAGGTGGCAGAAGTTGCTGGTAGGTCATCTGAGGTGTCACTTCCAAGAGAGATGCTGACATTTCTCAACATTCTTGTGGGTTACAGTGTCTTCAACCAGAATGAGCTCTCTACTTAAGCACAAAGGATCTAGAGTCATGGCTATTCCAGCATCAGGTCATGTCTCGGCTATCTGACATTAAGCATTGTAATACTACAGCTTCTGTGTCTTCTGTCTTTCCTTACGCTCTCTAGTAAACAGGGCCACCTTAGCATTTACACTCTTAGAATGCTTTTCACCATCCTCTTAGTTGAGATATAGGATCTAATACTTTAAATGTTAATCAGGACATTAAAAAAAACAGGTGCCAAGGCACCTTATAAAACACTTATCTTTCAACGTTTTGAGGCACAGAATAACATAATGCCTAAGGTCATGATGCCCAATGACAGGAGATAAACACACCAAGAGAAAAGGTGGCAAGTGACAAGCAGATTTATCCCATTTCTCTCGTTTCTAATCCCACCCTATAATATACAATGTGAGTTCTTAGTGTTATGTTGGAAGGGGGCATAAAATTACAAGCAGACTGTGTAATGCTGGAGGAAGAGGTCTCTTAGAGTCTACATATGTCTTTGTCAAAAGTAGCATACTCTTGAAACAAGCTTAAGGCTACACAACACTAACTCCCTTATAGTTCTAAAATTTCCCATGTTAGCATAACATAGACTGGTCTCTGTCTCCTTTCAAGTTAACTTGAGCTAGTTGCCCCAAGAAACTTCCAAAGCATTCTGGTCTCAGGGAGCACTTCTAGAATGGGGTCCTCTCGGTCATAATTCCTTTCATGGAATCATGACTTAGAGATTGGCAATCATAGCGTTTAGAGCTAAAATGCTGATCAGTGGAGTCCAGCTGGTGAGAAGAGTAGCCCCAAAGCTACGCAACTAAAGAACTTTTTGAGCAATATTAATATACAGGAACTAGAGCACTTCCCTAGCTCTCCCCTCTTCTTGGAATATTCTTCCTCTAATTACCTGAATGGCTAATTCCCTCACTTCCTTCAAGCCCTCCCACTCAAATCCCGCTTGTTCAAAGAAGGCTTCTCTAATGACCCATTTAATTCTGTAATCTGAGTTGACTCCCCCCATAACAGCATCCCAGAAGCCTCTATCTTTACCCTACTCTAATGTTTTATTTTTTCCACAGCACATACACAAAGTGCATAATTCATTTTATTTATTATATTTATTTGGTGTATCTTCATTAAAATTTAATCCCATAAGGGGGAGGGAACTTTGTCTATTTTGTTCTCTGAGGTATCGCAAACACTTAACATAGCGTTTGGCACATAGAAAGAAGTCAATGTATATTTACTGAATAAAAGAACATGTCTCCTATAGTAAAGATGGTAGAAAGGTAAAAGTCAAACTGCATTCCAAGAAAGTTTGAAAAAACACTATGAAGAGTCACAGAAATGTACATTTTCCTGCTGGGGAAAAAGATGGTGAATTAAATCGCTTGATGCATATGAATGCTCACAAATTCTAGGAAAGGAGAAATGGGCATTTTTGTTCCCTAATAGATTTTTGTTTACATTTCCCTTGTTCACAAGGAATTTTAATCACTGATGTCAAACTAGAAACAAAAGTTAGTACACAGCCTTTATGCTTTCCTGTGGTAGAGGCCACAGCTCAGATTTCAGGCAAACAAGAATGCCAATCAATGTTAATTTTGTTGTTATTTATGCATTCTCTTTCCACAACCAAGTGGAATCATTAGTTAACACATCATTCTCCCTGGAAAACACTGATTGGTATTCACTGAAATTTCTAAGACTCCTATTTCCTACAAATTCACTATTTGAGATTTTTTTTTACATCTAGCTCAGTAACATTTCTAAACGGCAGAACCAGAGGGCTAGGTTCATCTCCAATGAAATGTCAGACTCTATTTTCAGATGTCAAAGTTCAATCAAATACAGATCAATACAGAAATTCATCTTGGGTACATCTTGAATTACTACCATTCTACATTATTTTGTTGGAAAAAACAATACATATGAATACAAGTATATGTGTATATATACATACCCTTATCTGAGTGTGTGGCTTCACTATGACTATCATGAGAGTCAGTGTGATGTAACGGAAAGAACATTGACTTTGAAGCCAAACAGACTTTAATTTGAATCTGAACAATACCAGTTTACATCCCTTTTACTCTCAAAATGTCCCATTTGGATGATAAACTCTATGTTATTCTAAACAATCTTTAAAAAATCTCTGATATGGTTATTGGCCAACAGTAGGTACTCAATAAAAGGTAGTTAATATTTAATAAATGTAGATGCAACTCAACTTTCTCAGTATCATCAGGGAAGCACCACACTGACTTCCAAGAGAATTGTAATAGTTATTAACAAAGAAATGAGAAGAAAAAAATGGAGGGATGTCTGTAAATCAACAAACTGTTGAAAATATCAGGAAGAGGTCACTAGCCATGAACATACCTGCAAATAGCAACAATAAGGGTCACGATTCTCATAGTGCCTCCTATGTGCTGAGCACTGGGACCGACATTTTACATACTTGGTTTATAGGTGATTAACCTTCAACACAGGCAGTATAACTGGACACATTTTATCAAAGAGAGAAATTACTTAGAAAAGTTGTACAGCTTGTCCAAGAACACACCACTAATAAGTGATGGTGATGCAATTTTAATCCAGGTCTATCCAAGTTCAAAAGGGATAGAGACTTCAGGTTTTATGTCATTTACAATCCCATGTTTTGCCCCAAAATCAGTGTTTTGAAAGATGGACCACGTACTCAAAATAACTAGGGAGGATTCTGTGAGACAATGGGTTAATCCGTAAAGGATCATGAACTACATCTACCTTCTCAGCTTCTGAGGTAAGGAATGATATGAATCTAAGGGGTCATCTTAGCAAAAAATGAACAATCAGTATGCAAGGAGTATGTCAAATCTACACGATTTCAATGGTGAGGTGGAGAAAGTGTGTAGCTAAGAATCTGAGAACAGGAACTTGCCCCTCTACTCCCTTACCCCTGCCCTGCCCCATATACAGATTATTTCAGGTTTAAGGAATAGCCAGGCCCATCAACAACACCTGTTGAGCTTCTAACCCCCTTACCTTCACATATCTCCAGATGATTAATTTCTACAAGAAGCTATTTTTGCCTCCTCTTATATTTCACTAGGGAAATGATTCTCAAATCTTAGAGACTGTAAGAAACTATAGAAAAGTTCTATCTAAAATAGCTACAGATTTAACAGATACAGTTCAGGGCATCTGTCCGGCAGGAATTACCACAAATTCATAGCCAACAGCTTCTGAATGGCCAGGCCCAAATGACTTCTGTCATTATCAGACTGGGCCTATTGTAAGCCAACAACCCAGAGGAAAATATACTGGAGGCCTTTATCAAGGGCTATACAGCCAGGAAAAATATAACCAATAGCAAGATATTAAATATAGCTACTCATTTACATCAATCCTTTTCCCAACGTTCTCCGGCTCCCTAGGGTGTCTGGAATAGAAACAATGCCACAGCATGGCAGTGACTTTTAGAGAGAGAACTGCATTAGAATCAGGGTCACTCATTAGCTATGTAACCTCAGGAATTATTTAATCTCTCTGAGCATCAAGGGCCTCATTTGCAAAATGAAAATGCTATGACTGCCTTCTTAGGTTGTCAGAAAAATTAGATGTGACATGCCAGGTAATGATAACTGATGGTTACTGAGTATTTACTAAGTGCCAGGTGCTGGATGAAGTAAGTACTGCTAGTAAATGAGTAAACTAAGGCACTAGACTTTAGGCACTTGCTGAAATTCACATAATTAGAAAGTCACAGAAATAGCATCGGAGCCCAGAGAATCAACACAGCTCATGCTCTTAACCCACTGTGCTATACTGCCTAGTATGGAACTCTGTACTGAGTTAAGACTCAACAAATATGAGTCATAGCTACTGTTATTGCTGTTAACATCCCCATATCACATAAAATGAGGTCATACAGAACATTGAGTACTCATGCCAAAGAATGCACAGTACCTGGGACATGGCTGCAAAAGTTCCCCTTGGACAATGCAGGCCTCTTTCTCGAGAAGTTCAGGGCACTCCCTGCCCCCTCCAATAGCAATGTGCTTCACATTCCGGCTCCTGCTCCTGAATCCTGATGAGAGATTTCCTGAATGACAAGTCTTGGAGCAGGGACTCCAGGAGGACCACTCAGTCGTTTCACAGTCTTTTGGCATGATGCAGGACTGCACCGTCAAAGGGAAGGAGTCTTGTGTGCAAAGGCTAAGGAACAGAAGCAGAAAACAGTAGGCCACAGATTAAATAGATGCAACCAACATTATGAAATGCCTATGATGAAAAAAAGTGAAATCTGGTTTAAGCATTCAAATTTAAGGATTTAAAAGAACTGTTAGAGGTATCATGATAAAATATTGGAGGACATACATTTTAAAAATGTATGCTCTATTTCTTTTGAAACTGTGAAGTTATTTCACTCCAGCAAGACACACTCATGTAAGATGAGTACACCCCATACCTTGTCCAAAGCATTATCAGAAATAATGGAGGCTCTTCTCATGTGCTCTCACCTATGACACAGAGCCTACAGTTACCAGTTATTGACTGGTTCCTAGGCGTCACACACTGTGCTGCACTTCATAGGCACTTGCTCACACCAATCTCGAGTTTACATACTATTATCTCCGTCTGTAGATAAGAAAACTTAGACTCAGGAAGGCTGAGTCCTTTGTCAAAGGTCAAACAAAGGTAAACACAGCTTTAGAGTATTAATCTATCCTTTCTTTTAAATACTGGGCTATTAATAAATAAACAAAAATGATATTATGTTTCCCTACACTGTTAGACTCTGAGCATCAATTTCCTTATCTGTAAAATTCAAGTTCTATCAAATACAAACAATCTAATTGGGGAACAGATAAATAAAAACATAAGATAATTTGATAATGTGATGAACTCAACATAAAAGCGTTTATAATGAAGAAGAAAAACACTGATGAGGCAGTGAAGGACCACCTGGGGTAGGGGTGGGGGTTCCAAGAGAGAAGGACATCTGAGCTGCATTTTAAAAAATTAATGGGAGCTTCTCAGGCACAGAAAGAAGGGTATTTTAAGTCAAAGAAATAACATATTTGAAGCCTTGATTAAACACTTTGTCGGGATGGGAATCAGTGGAATGCTAGAGCAGGATATACTGTTTCACAAGAACCAACTGCTAAACTTTCAGGAATTTTGCAAGCCAGTTGATTTCATGTAAGTAGCTTAAAATTGGCCGTTGTGGAAGTATTTACACTACAGAAATCGGCAAATGCTATAAAAAAAGCCTCTGACTCCCGACCCCCAAGAACTGGTGGTTAACCATTTACAAGCACACCACTGGGGGAAAGTAAAAGGCAATTTGTCAATTGTCATAAACTTGTCAATTTATGAACCATAAAGTGCAAAGAGGAAAGTGGATAGATATTTGGTATGTGGATTCTTCAAAAGTAGGTCTGGACAGGCTTTGTATCATAGAATTTGGATTTAATTGAACATTAAACAATTTTAAGTGGGAGAAAATCAGTTATACTCATATAGAAAGATCATATTTCAAATACTAATTCGCATTCTTTTCTTTTTTTCACTGTCTTGTTGCTGGCCTTTCCCTTATTCAATCAAAGGTATCCATCACTCCGGGGAAGAAAAGGATAATTTTGATAGGAATGTAAATCAAAGACAGTGTCAATATTCAAACACTGACTTCCAAAATTGGGCCTGTAAAACCTTGTGGAATAATGGGCTGCAGAAAGGATTTGGAAATGGTTCCTCTGTATGTGTTTAAAAAGAGAGAAGTAATAAAATGTTTCCTAGTTTCCAATTTGAGAAAATATGTAGATAAGGAAGCCACCAACAGAGAAACGAATTATGAAAGGTGGTGTACAGGGGAGAATAAAACATGCTCATATTTGGCCATATTGATGAGTAAATTGCAGTGGGATTTCCATATCAATATCCTTCATAAAGCCATACTGAGCTAGTGTGGCTTTCAAAAGTCACAATGGTATAATATAAACTTTTGGTTCAATATTTTATTTTTAAGTCCATTCAGATCATATTATTCCCTTCAAAATGAAAAAGGCAATGTATACTTCATTATCATTACTCAGTCCAATGGGACATTTTAGTAGCTTGGAATCAAGACACACTAGGAAGAATCTCTTTTGAAAATGTCCTACCTAATACAGAATGTACTATCATTGTGCAATGTGGAGGCAGGGGTAGAAGAACATCTCTTTCTATTGTATGACACAACAGAAAGCTGTTGCTCAATAAGAAGTTTCTAGGTTTTGACTTTTCAGAAATTGTTATTTGCTAAGTTGTGTCACCCTACGGCCCCCTGCCAAACTCATATGTTGAAGTCCTAACCTCCAGTACATCAGGATGTGTTTGCATTGGAGACAGAACCTTAAAAGAGGTAATTAAGTTAAAATGAGGTCACTAGGGTGGGTCCTAATCCAATATGACTGTGTGCTTATAAGAAGCGATCAGGACACACACAGACAGAGGAAAGACTATGTGAAGACAAAGAGAGAAGACAACCATCTATAAGCCAAGGAGAGAGGCCTCAGAAGAAACCAACCCTTCTGACACCTATCTTGGACTTTCCAGCCTCCAGACTGTGAGAAAATTAATTTTTGTTATTTAAGTCCCTAGTCTGTGGTACTTTGTTAAGGCAGCCCTAGCAAACTAATACAGAAATTTAATAAAGTTTTTCAATTTGTGTTATGCTTTTAGAAAAAGAGTTTCAATTTCCAAGATGGACATTCTATTTCCTTTTATAAAGAAGGTCCCACACTATGCAGTTCTCTGTATACAGCTGAAGTAGAGGTTTGTTTCTTCCTATTTCTCAGCTTTAATTCTCTGTTGCTCATCTTCTCCTGACTGACTTTTCCTATTAGACCAGTGGAACAGACAATAAGACTCCAACAGTACAAGCGCTTGCACAGAGTTTCAGGGATTAATGAAGGGCTTTGTATTTTTAAAAATGGCTCCTAATTCTTGGAATTAGGAAAGGCATACGTTCCATTGAACACATATTTACTTATTTTTAATGTTACTTTCACTAACCTGCTTCTTTGGTTAAAAAAATAATCATAAAAGATACCACATAAGGTCTTGGTCTAATTTTATCAGTAAGATTCCATTTTACCAGAAGAGTGGGAGGAGCACTAAATGGTTAATCAGAAATATCTGGGTTCTGAATTTTGTATCACAATACATTAGTATGACCTTAGTCTCTTGGCTGCTTAGTTTCATTATCTGGAGGAAAAAAGAACAATAAAATGTGATCTGCTCACCCGCCAGAGTTGCAGTAACCTTTAGTGTTAAGTAGAATCACCTTATAAAGTTATAAAAGCCCACAATAAAGCTTATTGTCTACACACAGAAGTGGGAATCAATCCATTCATAGAAGGTGGTGTGCCTTTTTAATAAAACAGACATATACTGCTGATTTGTCTTTTAAAAAAAGAGATGCTATGGTAATTATACATCCTTGACATTTATAGAGTATGTTGTCATTTTGTAAATTACTTTGCAAGTACTCAAGTGTAAAGGAAACCTTTGAAACTGAAAATTACTCTAGTAATCCTTACTTCCTCTGGAAATGTTAAGGAAATCTCTTTACTTACAAAATCAGGACAGAAACTCATAAAAATCAACAGAAAATTACCCTCAACTTCATTAACACTTCAATTACCACTTTAAAATAACATTACATATCTCAAACATTCAGAACAGTAGAGTAATATAATAAATGCTCTCATACTTTATTGGCAAAGGCAAACATTTGCTTCAGATTTCTTTAAATAAATAAAAAATTACAAATTCAGGTGAAGTCCCCTCTGTCCTTTGCAATCCTAGTTCCACCTCTCTTTCTCAGACAGCCACGATTCTAAAATTTATTTGTATTATTCTCCACCATGCCTTTATACTTTAACTAAATATGTATATGTTCATAAATAGCACATAGCATTCATCATCTTGCATGTTTTTAAAAGTTTTACTTAAATGTTGTTTTATTATACATATTACTCTGGAAATTATTTTCTTCACTTAATATTATGACTTTTAAATCTATCCATGTTGACAAATGCAGTAATGGTCATTCACTTTTATTAGTAAGTAATATTCCAATATGAATACATGATAGTTTATTTATTCATTCTCCCATTAGTGCATCTTTTGGTTGTGCTTAATCTCTTACAACTCCACAGGATTATGTATTTAACCTCTTTTTACATGTTTCTATGCTGTAACACATGTGTGAGAGATTTTCCCTAGTATTTTTGCCTGGAGTTGGGCCATAAATATTCATGTAATCAAATCTACCAGGTATTGTGAACTTTTTCTTTCCTACATACTCAAAGCTCTTGGGTATTATCAGACTTACTTTTTCCAAAATGTTGAGAAAGTGCATTTGATTTTTCAGATTGCCACTGAGCTTTATATTCCTCTCACATCTGTAGTGACTAATCAGATTTCCTATCGCATGAACTGACCATCCATACTCTTTGCCCATTGTGGTAGGCTGACTAATGGTCCCCCTAAAATGTCCACATCCTAATCCCTGGAAGCTGTGAATATGTTACTTTACATGCCAAAAGAGACTTTGCAGACGTGATTGTTAAGGATTTTGAGAGGAAGAGATTATTCTGGATTATGCAAGTGGGTCCAATGTAATTACAAGGGTCCCTAGAAAAGGGAGGCGAAAGGGCCAGAGACAGAGAAGGAAATGTTATAACAGAATCAGAGGTTGGAATAATGTAAGGCCGTGAGCCAAGGAATGGGTGCAGCCTCTAGAAATTGGAAAATGCAAGGAAATGGATTCTCCCCCAGAACTTCCAGAAAAAACACAGAATAATGTCTCCATTTCAAGATTTCTTCACTTTTAGGCTTCTGACCTCCAGAACAGTAAGATAATAAATTTGTATTGTTTTAAGCCTCTTAGTTTGTGTAATTTGTTCCAGAATCAATAGAACACTAATATACCCATTTTTCTATTGAGTTGCCTTTTTTCTTATTGAATTTAAAAAGTACACTCACACACATATATAGATGATGACAATAAATAGAGATACACAGAGAGATTCTATATGGTAACCTGTTGTTTGTTCTATATGTTACAAATATCTTTTCCCATAATTTTATTTTTAATTTTGTTTATAGTGCCTTTTTGTGCTACACAGTTTTTTTAGTTTGTTGTTCAGTCTTTCCCT